CTGGAGTCACCTGGCTCTAGACTTCTTGTGTGAGGTTTATGCACACCCTTATGTTCCGAGCTGCTTTAGACTGGGATTCCTGTGATTTACAGCTTCAAAGATCCTAAGAGATGCCGATATCTTTTTCTTTTCTTTTTGAATTTGAGAAGGGAAGAGAGAGGAAGAGGGTGGGAGAGGGAGAGGGAGTGGGAGAGGGAGAGGAAGAGAAAGAGAGATCTCATCTGCTAGTTCTCTCCCTAAATGTATACAATGGTAGGGTTGGGTCAAAGCCTGGAGCCAGGGATCCTATCAGGTCTCCCACATGGGTGGCAGGAATCCAATTACTTGAGCCATCACTGCTGCTGTAAGGATCTGTATTAGCAGGAAGCCAGAGTCAGGAGCTGGCTTTCAATCCAGGCACTCCAAAATGGGACATAGGGATCCTAACCCCTAGGCAAAATACCCGCTTCGACATCCAGTCCCTTTGAATGTGTCTCTTTTATCCAGAGCACCCAACCAAATCACTTCTCTTCTGTGCTCTGATTGATTGCAGACATGGATTGGGAAACTGTTCCAATGCCAAAGAGCAATCCATCAAAGGCAGGCAGACATTGATGTTGCAACACTGAAGGCGACAGGGGGGTTCCATCCGTGCACCACCCCAGAGCAAAACAGCAAAACTCAGCCTTTGAGCATTTGCCTGTTTTCTGACTCTGAAATAAGTATCATAGGAATCTGAAGCTCAAAGGTAGAGGGAGACTTTTGACACTTCTCTAGAAGGCTGTGGGGCACAGTCCTAGAGTTTGCACTCTGGTTACTCATTATATTCTCAACACGTAGTCAGTGTCTGGGTTTCCCCAGCACTTAACTCTCCCTTTTATGACTAAGAATTTGGGATGACTTGAAGTTGTATTTGTGGTGAGATGAAGGCCTGCCTGTCCAGGCTTATGAAAATTTGGAAATATATGAATGTTCAATGCATTCAGTCAGAGGCAAACGTGGACTTAAGGTTGTCGTGCTGAGACCTCTTGTCCCAGATAGCATGAGATACATTGCGTTGGGAGATAGGACAGGCTCCCACTCAAAGGTGGTACAGTCAGCCTTCTTCCCTCCCCATGACTTGCTCCAAGGAGGCTCTTCTCTCCCATCCCCACCTTTCCCATTACTCTTTGCCCTCCCTGACACCAATATTTTTGTGTTGTTGCAACTTAAAATTCAGTGGAGGCAGGGCTACAATGGCAAAATAATGGGGTAATCCAAGAGGAGGGAACAAGAAGTAGGAGTACAATGACAGACAATCCCTGGGACTATCCCTCACAGCAGTCTTCATTCTCCCCTTCACTCATCCAGCAAGGAGTTACTGAACTCCCACAAGGTGCTAAGCACCACAGAGGCGAGAGTGGAAAAACTCGTCCCGGGAGGAAGAGGCAACTACTTGAGCATCCCTCTGGAACTTTACTTCTTAATTTTCTTTCTGCATTTGGTGCATCCAAAGACCTAGCCTTGTGTTTTTATCAAACCAATGAGATAAATACATTGGGTGTTGTCCCATATATCATTGGAGAATGTGAAGACTGATGTCAAGGGACTTTCTCATGGGGTGTGGCTAAGGGACAGACTCAAGCCTTGCACTCACACATTCTGACTCATTTGTCTTTCTCAGGGACACCTCATACCAGCATCAGGCCTGCACAGGGCCAACTGTGGCAGGCACTCGTACAGCTTGGGAGCAGACTCTTTGCAATTCCATCTTCCCTGGGAGCCTCTCATTGCAGAGAAAGCAGGAACTGACTGCTGGCAGCTGCCTGCCTGACCCTCCTGGGTAGACTTTGAAGTAGAAAACCTTGAGATCAAAGGAAATATTTTGTTGAACTCAGCTATTCATCCTTGATCTGCTAAAACACTTAATTCAATTAGCAATATAAACTTTGTCAAGATTTCACTTTCCCAACTTAATGTAACTTGCACCATTGCTTTTGTTTCTAAGTGTCTTGGAACAAAAGGGGGAAAAGCTTCCTAAAATGTCTCACATAAGGCATGGAGTATGCAATACTTGTATGAGGTTTGATGTAAAAGTGCATTCTTTCTGTGCTTTAGTGCGTAATGAGTTATAGTGGAAATACTTTTTAAAAAATTATTTATTTATTTGAAAGTCAGAGTGACAGAGAGGCAAAGAAAGAGTCTTCCATCTGCTGGTTCATTCCCAAATGGCTGCAACTGCCAGAGCTGGGCCAATCCGAAGCCAGGAGCCAGGAGCTTCTTCCAGGTCTCCTACACAGGTACAGGGGCCCAAGGACTTGGGCCATCTTCTACTGCTTTCCCAGATAATAGCAGAGAGCTGGAACAGAAGTGGAGCAGCTGTGACTCGAACCAGTGCCCATAAAGGATGCCGGCACTATAGGCAGAGGATTTACCCTAGTGGCCACAGAGCTAGCCCCAGTAGAAAATATTTTAGGCTAAATTATCTAGTAGTGTTGCAGACAAGCAAACTTCTCAGATTTCATGAGGTTTGAAACCATAGCATTATAGAAGGGAAGGTTTAGCATCATGAGCTATGCCTCAAGTCAAGCATTTTAGATGTTCAAAGACTACAGTCTTTGTAAGAACCTGTGCTGTAGGATTTCCTCTGTCTAGAGAAGTCAGATGGCATTCCTAGAGTCACGGAGCTTAGATGCGTAGTGCTGAGATTTGAATTCATGCTGGCTGATGCAAGACCCTACTGTGTGTTAGGATTCATTGTGAATGCTGAGCTGTCTTAAGACCTTCAGAAATTATCTGTTCTACCTCCTCTCTTTATGTCAGACTGGAAGAAAATGAGGCCCTCAACCTAAAGCACTGCTCATTCCTGATGCAGTGGGGACAAAGCCCAGGCCACTGACTCTCCGCAGGACGGTGTTTTTGCTCTTGTGCTTTTGCAGATGGCCAGGAATGGGAGTTTGTCCCAGGGGAATGCAGACCTTGAGGAAGCTGTTCTATCCCTGGATATCTGACTTACCTTTGAGGGCAGGGCAAGGTGATGAAGCAGTTGTTACCCCCACCTCCATCCCCACCAGGCATTCAGGCCCTTTGAGACTGGCTCACCTAATTTCCGTTTGTGTATGGTGTGTGTGCACGTGAAAGCTATGCACACACCCTTCCTCTGTGTACCTGCAGTCATTTCAGAGATGTGTCTGCCGTAAGTATGTTATTCTATTGAGGATTCCACATGGAGGTAGAGATGCTGCTGGCCAAGATCTCAGACCCTGCTTGCTGAATGTCTCGCCAAGCCCTGTTTGCTGCGTGTAGATGTGGTCAGTATTTTGGGGCAGTCACTTAAGTTCACCAAATGCCACAATGGGCAGTTTCAGATGACTCTGTAATAAATGACATGGTCTAGATCTTGAGCTAAAATTGGTACCCACTGCTCCTGTTTTCCCTTTCCTTTTCACCTGCTAACAAAAACAGGACTTGAGTAAGAGGCTGTGTGACTGTTAATACTGATGCCAGATATTCTCCTGTTCTCAGTCATGTTTTAGAAAGAGGGAGAGGAAGAGAGAGGGAGAAGGAGGGGAGATGGAGAGAGAGAGAGAGAGAGAGAGAGAGAGAGAGAGAGAGAGAATGAATTATACTCTAAGCTCCCAACAGATTGGCTGATGTTTCTCCTGTCTACTTAGGGGCCAGTTCTGACTCCCTCTGGAATTGTCTCCATTGGTTTATCCTAAAATGATAACCCATTATGGGTTCTGCTTTAAGCCATCTGAAATGTGGAATTTCACATTCCACGACTTGGCTGGAGTTTTCAGAAATCAAATATTGTTTGTACCCCCCTCCCTCCAGTATTTTTTTAGCTGGGAAAATGTTTTAAGCTTCTTACTGGAATTTGCTGCATGTGGTTAAAAATCCCCAAGAAGTAAATTGTGAGCTTGGCATAAATAATCGGTTTTGTTTTAGAGTCCCATTCAGAAGAGTAAGCTACAATGCGACAGAGTCCTCTCTTAACAAGGTTTGTAATGATTTCCCTGAAATCGTAATTGAAATTCAAAATCTAGGAGGAGTTTTGCCAAACCAATTCTATGTAATTTGCACTGAGAACTGTTCTAACATGGGTTCCAAAGTCAGGGAAAATACACGGGGAGCAGGGAATATGCTCTAACTTTGTACAACACGTTTTATGTTTCTTTTTTCTTTTATTTCTTCTCCTCTTCCTTCCTCCCTTGGTTGCTATCTTCTACTGAATAGTGTGAACATGAGTTGATGACTGTCAAATGTTGACTCTGGGTGATGGATCCACAGAGCATCTTCGTTCTTCCCTCCATACTCTTGTGCATGTTTGGAACTTTTCCTAATGAAAAGAAGAAAAAGGAAACAGAAATGATTATGGCTCAAGCACTGGGCTGTTCTCAGCTTGAAGGAGTCTTCACAGAACACTAAACAGAAGCAGAAATTACAGTAAGTTCAAACTTATTTCCTAGGAGGCTTTTTTTTTAAGTGTTTTTCTGGAACTCAGAAATTGTTTTAATGATCCAGCCCTGCAGGGGTCCAGGATGGCAGGAGTACAAGAAGGTTGGGCAAGTCTATGACACAGCTTGTGCCTGGTGGAGAATTTTCCAAATAGAAATATGACCGAAAAAGAGGGTGGAGGATTAGAAAACCAGCCTGGAAGTGGTGAGTTTGCGATTACTCACATGGTTGCCACATAATTCTTGCTGCACCTAGGGCCACAGATAGAGCTTTGGGTCCTGAAACACTTTAATTCCCACAGGTCTTGCTCCTCGGGGGAGTGCCTCATCTCACCGCTTCCCAACAGGCAGCACATACCACAATGCATAAAGCAAAGTATTTCTGTGTCAGCTTTTCCATGGGGCAAGGAGGAATGTCCCTTTAGGAGATTATTGACTTCCCTTGTCATGCCAGAGTAAGCTTCCTAGATCAGCTAATGCTCCTGCAAGGCCAGGCAGCTCCCAGCTGCCAGCAGCGCCCAGCACAGCTCCTTCCTCCTCCATCTTACCTGTGGCCCCAAGGATTCCACCTGGTGTGGTGACAGCTGACCACGGGCCAAGCGTCCCAGTGCCTTGGCAGCTCAGAGGACAGGAGAACAACAGGACGCGTGTGGGGACCCTGGAGACCGGCAAGTTCCACGTGGCCTGTCATCCTGTCGTCACCGAGGAGCCTGGCCCTCTGGTAATGTCTCCTTTGCTGCCCCTGGGTCCTTCCCGTGGACTCTGCCACTCCTTTCCTCCCATACTACTGGTTCCATTGTGTTGTCGGGGGTCATGATTCCTTGGTGGATGATCTCTTCTGTGTCTGCAGTCTTCAGAGAGTAGCCACCCTCCCTGAAATCCTTCTCTCTCCACAACACCCTGGTTTCTTCCCTTCCACATAGCACCTGCTGGGCTGGAGACTCAGCATTGCATTAACACTTTTGTGATCATTTGCAAACGGTTACTCTTTCTCCTCTTGAAAAAATTCCCTCTTGAGTATTTCATAGTCTATGATTTTCCTCCCCACACCTTCATCCTCACTATCCACTCTGTACTCATCTGTGACCTTGGCCAAGTTCCTTAACTGCAGAGACTTGTTCGCTTACAGAGGATAGCAGCGCTTCCTGCTGCATAGGGTGCTGTGGATGAAATGAGAAGATTTGTGTTGAGTGGTTAGCATCTTTCTGGCCTAAACGATGCACGTTTACTGTGATCAGATTTGACCTGCTTGCTTTCCTTCCCAAATTCACCATGATCTTGGGAAATTGCAGTGTCCTTTGGAACTACACACATGTTCCTGTTCCCTCACTGCTGGGACAGGCATCTCCACTGTATGCCTGTCCTGCTTTCTGGAACCCACCTCCTTGTCTGGGTGTCCCCCTCACCCGACCTGCTTCTCCCTGCCTATGTCACTTCCTTGCAGTCCGTTAGATCCTTGCCATCTGCAGCCCTGGCCTGGAACTGTTGGACGATGGTCAGAGTGTTTGCTTTCATTGTGCCATGTTTTCCATAATTCCTCCAGTATAAGGGTCTCTGTAGGGCTTCTCCATTCCTAGTGCCTGGGCCCTCCACAGCTCAGGTGGAGAGGCTGACCATCACTCAGTCACATGGAGATTTATCTGGGATGTCCATTATTGGGGTGAGTTTTCTAGGGATATGAGTTTAGCAAGGAGGTGAAGTGACATGTTTGATGCAGCAGTAACTCAGTATCTTGGAAGCAAGGAGGTCACAAGGGGTCTTCATCACCTGCGTTGAGTGTGTGAGCTTGGAGCTTGGTTCAAGGGTCCAGGAGAACGTGCAGGATGAGGAACAAACTTGGCTTTATTTTGGGCTTCCAGGGTTTTCTTTGATTTCCCTTTAATTTTTCTTTCGTATTTTCAGCAGTCTGTTTGAACTCTGCACAGGTAAGGGATTTTTGCTATCCAAGGAGGTTGTTGCTAGGGATTTGGTTCTGGCTCAGGAAAGACCTTTAAAAGGCATCCATCTTAGAGAGGCAGAGTGGTGGTGGCAGAAGGATTCAGTGTGTGGCTGTCTAAGGCTTCCTGAATGACAGTGGTATACAGAGGAAGTAAGAATAAGCTAAGATGTGTGCCCCAGTGACATGTGCAACCAGGAGAGAGAGAGAGAGAGAGAGAGAGAGAGATTTTCCATCTGCTGGTTCACTCTCCAGTTGTTGGCAACAGCCAGGACTAGGATCTCAGAACTTGAGAAGGTTCCCACATAAGTGAGTGGCAGGAACCTAAGCATTTGCGTCATCACCACTGCCTTCCAGAGTGCACATTAGCAGGAAGCTACAACTGGAAGCGGAGCCAGGACTGGGACTCAGGATCTCCAATAGGGGTTGCAGGCATCCCAAGCAATGTCTTAACGTCTTTGCCAAATGTGTGTCCCTTGAAAGGCAACAATTGATCATCATTTTTGAGGATTTGTTCCTTCTTCTCTTACAGATGGATAATTGAGAATAAAATACAGTCGGATGACATTGTAAAGCAGCTCTATAGGGAGTTGGGAGATCTGTCTTCCAAGCTTGTTCTCTACTGAAAGATGGTGTGGCTTAGGACAAAATGCTTAACCTTTGTGTTTCTTGAGGTTGAAAATAGCTGGCTTTCTTATCTTTTCTTTTTAAGCTGTCATGAGAAATAAGGGAATGTTTGTAGCAAATACTTTCAGCAACTCAAGGTTTTACATATTCAATTTTACATATTCGATTCTACAAACTCAAATGCTGGCTGGATTGTGAAGTTTTTAGCTATTTGCAGAGAACTAAAAATGCACTCGGGGAAAAAAAGTGGATGGGTCTCCAGGATTCATGAAGAGCTATGCATTTAGAGAGAAATAAAACAATATTTTATAGGAAAGTTAGAATGTTGGGGCTGGGAAGACAGAGGAAAAAGGGAGAAAGGAAGAAAACAGAAAAATCCTTAAAGCCATGTGCTTTCTCGGTGATGTATCTTCACGGTGTTCCCAGGATTATGCCTGCCTCTTCTGAGTTGGGGTATACTAGTGTCCTAGGGTTGCTGTAATGAACATCACACACTGGGCACAGCAGACATTTACTTTCTCACAGGTGCAGAGGCTGGGAGGCGGAAATCACAGGTGGGCAGGGCTGGTTCCTTGTGGGAGCTCCGAGGGAGGAGGCTGCCCTTGCCCTTCCCTGCCCTGTGGACGCTGCCCATCAGCACTACTCATGTTCCTCTGGACACTCCACCCCCACCTGTGCCTCCATGGTTCTGTGGCGACTGCTTGATGCACCTCTATCCAGAGTTCTTCTCCTTGCAGAGAGAGCAGATTGAGAACCACTTGGTTCTATCTGCAAAGCCCCTCTTTCCAAATGAAGTCACCTTGACATGCAAGGGGGACTTAGCATTTCAACGTGGTTTTGGGGGAGAGGGCACAACCCATCACAGTGAGCAAGTAAAAAAAAAAAAGAAAAAGAAATCCTCATTTTGTCCTGCAGCCCGGAAACTGATATGTTTTCTGTGGATATGACCTCCCTGAGGTCAGCTTCACAGGGCAGGCTTAGAGAGCAAGAGGTTGAGGTGCCCACAGTGTGTCGTAGGTGCCCCGATGGGACCTTTGGGGAAGTTTCTCTTAGCAGCCCCTCAAATTTATTTTATTTCCATTTTAAATAATAAAATGCTTTTTTAAGAAATGATTAGGTCAAAGGAAAAAAAAGTCAACTGCTTCAAAAACAGGAACAAAGCATGTTTGTTGCCTCTTGCCTGCTCTTTTCATTTGCTCCAGCCGCAAGGAGGCACCAGCTAACCTTGTGCAGCACACAGTGATCCCTGCGATGCCATTGTGCCCGAACTCAGCTGCAGCCAGCTGGTGACAGCAGATGCAGCATGAAATTCAATGTCCTCACTCTTACATCTTATTTGAAGGCTGCCATGAGCCCTATCTCTTCTTGAGTGTTACTATCGGCATGGGAGATGGGGTTGGGGGTGGGGGAGACAAGAGAACAGTTTCAGCTGAGCAGAGCAAACCAAGGTTGATGCTTACAAGACCTCTGTGTTATCTCTGGCCCTGCCGTCTTGGCCCACATTCTTGTGTGGGTTCAGATTTCCTGAGCACATAGTATTGACCTTAGTACACGGCCAATTCTAGATGCCAGTCAGCTACTTTTTAGCTTCTGCTGCCAGAAAAGATTTTTTTTTCCCTTCAGCAAAATGTGCCTTGTGCAAGTTTTGCCTAATCATATCTGGAAAAAAAAAAAAAAAAACAAGCAGTGGCCTGTCATTCTGCTTAAACAATTCCCTTTGGACAGTATCAATAAAATAATCCGAGTTTACACAAGTGTTTTGAGTCCATTCCTGGGTGCTTTTACTGCAGTGCCCCCTTGTGGCCAATTTAAGCTACACATGAGTCTCAGGGCTTGTTTTTATAAAAATATATAAAAATGCAATTTAAGCACTCGTTGTGTAAAGAGATCCCTATTTTTCCCCAATTAAGGTTCATTTCAATACATGATTAAATTGTGTATAATCCTTTAATTGTTCATATGTGGTTTTCTGCACACATCCTCATCTGATGAGAGAAGAGTTTGAAGGAGAAAAGGGGGTTAATATAATCAGTGAGAGTTTGACATCTATGTGGTGCTAAAGGGCTTGTGACTAGTGTGTGTGTGTAGGGGGCGGTAAAGGGACTGGCAGGTGCTTGGAGAAATGCCGTTTTCCTGCCGCTCTGCACGGAGGTCCTGCCGGTGACGTTATCCCCACCACATTCAGCTAAGAACAGGCAGGAAATGTTCTCACTGGGTCAGTAAGAGAGGTGGAGGTGAAGGTCCTCACCTCAGTTGCTTGCACAGTAGCTTCTGGGAAAGTACAGGGCAGCAGAGTGAAGGGATCCCAGCCAGGATTGTCTTGTGTGGGGCATAGCTTTGGCAGGGTCCTGAGACTTTTTTTTTTTTTTTTTTTTGACAGGTAGATTTATAGACATTGAGAGAGAAAGACAGAGAAAAAGGTCTTCCTTCCATTGGTTCACCCCCCCAAATGGCCGCTACGGCCGGCACTACCCGATCCAAAGCCAGGAGCCAGGTGCTTCTTTCTGGTCTCCCATGTGGGTGCAGGGCCCCACGGACTTGGGCCATCCTCCACTGCCCTCCCGGGCTACAGCAGAGAGCTGGATTGGAAGAGGAGCAACCAGGACTAGAACCCGGTGCCCATATGGGGATTGCCGGTGCCGCAAGGTGGAGGATTAACCAAGTGAGCCACAGCGCCAGCCCCTTTGAGACTTTTCAAAAGTAATTATAAAGCTACTGTCCAGATTCCCAGACTTTGAGATTTTGCAAGCCCACAAACAGATAAGGAAAGCTTTTAAGGGAGGATGTTTGAAACTATTTAAAAACTTAAAACTTGCTTTTGGGAGCAGCATTCTGGCACAGCAGGTTAAGCCATGGCCTGTGACACCAGCATCCCATATGTGCACTGATGCAAGTTCCAACTATTCCACTTCTGATTGAAGTCCTTGCTAAAGTGCTTGGGAAATCAGCAGAAGATAGCCAAATACTTGGGACCCTGCTACCCACGTGGGAGACCTGATTGGAGTTTCAGGCTCCTGACTTGGGCTTGGCCCAGCCCTGGCCATTGTGGCCATTTGGCAAGTGAACAAGTGGATAGAAGCTCTCTCTCTCTCTGGCTCTCCCTCTCTCTGTTAACTCTGCCTTTCAAATAAAATAAATCATTTAAAAAAGTCACTTCC